CATGACGCTGTCAACAGGGAACTCGCCTTCTTCATGACGCTGTCAACAGGGAACTCGCCTTCTCCATGACGCTGTCAACAGGGAACTCGCCTTCTCCATGACGCTGTCACAAGGGGACAAGAGCTCTCCATGACCCTTCAAAAAGGGACGAAGACCGCCCTCTATATTTCATCTTGAAATTTCCTCACAAAGCATGACAATGGTGGCTTACATATGACTTTTCGTCTTTTCGCTTTGTAACCAGCGAAAAAACGCTAATCAGCAAAACGAAATAACGAAAAGACAAAAACCCACTAAAGCGAAAAAACGAAAAACATACAAAGCGCCAACCTAAATAACGAAAAGACGAACAACCGCAAAAACCAAAATGGGGTCCTTTCTCCCTCCTTTTGACGTTATTTTGTTTTGTCGCTTGGCGTCTTTACGAGGGCGACAAAACAAAAAGACCAAATGCCATATATAAGTCATCATATGTGATACGTGATAGACACAATAAACACAGGTAGGGTCGAAGTTCTGTTTTAATAAAGGTCAAATCATCGATGAACTCCAGCCGGCGATCAACTCCATAGACTTGACACCGCTATTATTGACTTACAGCCACTGTAATAACGGGAAACATGCATTGTAAAATTGGAAAAATGCGAAATATGCAAATCGGATATTTAATACCTGTACATAATTTCACTGGAGCCTTCCGGATTTTTTTCATCCCGTAACATCGATCAACCGATCTGACCATATCGCACAAACGGGGGCGATCGATTGTTAAATCTTCAAGGTGTGCGCAATATGCGCAGACGGTGTGCAAACGGTAATTTTGATGCGTTGTGCGATCACGCAACTGCACAAATAGGTAGCAAAATAATGTGTTTTTTTAACTTAAAACGTCAAACACACGTCGTCAGTACCGTTCGTACAATATACTAACACTTTTCAAGTCAACTATTTGTCTTCACTCTATATCCGGTCCGTATTTATTTCTCTTTTCGGTTATAAACGCTGTGATGAGGTGCCGAAAATTCCCCAGTGTATTGTAAGAAAGAACCAGAAGCTGGTAATTGGCAATCATATGTAGCATAGACAACATATACAAAATGTAGGTGATAAATGGAAATACAGGGTGTGGCCTTACCAGCAAATACAATAGTTGGGTGATAATTTGAAATACAGGGTGTGGCCTTACCAACAAATACAATAGGTAGGTGATAATTGGAAATACAGGGTGTGGCCTTACCAACCAATACAATATGTATGCGATAAATGGGAATACTGGGTGTGGCTTTAGCAACAAATACAATATGTGGTTGAAAAAATGGAAATACCGGGTGTGGTCTTACCAAAAAATATAATAGGTGGGTGATAATTTGAAATACAGGGTGTGGCTTAACAAACAAATACAATAGGTGGTTTATAATTGGAAATACATCGTGTGGCCTTACCAACAAATACAATATGTGAGTGATAAATGGATATACAGGGTGTGGCTTACCAACAAATACAATATGTACGTGATAAATAGAAACACAGGGTGTAGCCATACCTACAAGTACAATATGCAGGTGATAAATGGATATATAGGGTGTGGCTTACAAACAAGTACAATATGTAAGTGATAAATGAAAACACATGGTGTGGCCTTACCAACAGATACAATATGTAGGTGATAAATGGATATATAGGGTGTGGCTTACCAACAAATACAATATGTAGGTGATAAATGGAAACACAGGTTGTGGCCTAACCAATAAATACAATATGAAGGTGATAAATGGATATATAGGGTGTGGCTTACCAACAAATACAATATGTAGGTGATAAATAGAAACACAGGGTGTGGCCTTACCAACAAATTCAATATGTAGGTGATAAATGGAAACACAGGTTGTGGCCTTACCAACAAATACAATATGTAGTGATAAATGGAAACACAGGATGTAGCCTTACCAATAAATACAATATGTAGGTGATAAATGGAAACACAGGGTGTGGCCTTGCCAACAAATACAATATGTAGGTGATAAATTGAAACACAGGTTGTGGCCTTACCAACAAATATAATATCTAGGTGATAAATGGAAACACAGGGTGTGGCCTAACCAACAAGTACAATATGTAGGTGATAAATGGAAACACAGGGTGTGGCCTTACCAACAAATACAATATTTAGGTGATAAATGGAAAAACAAGGTGTGGCCTAACCAACAAGTATAATATGTAGGTGATAGATGGAAACACAGGGTGTTGCCTTACCAACAAATACAAAATGCAGGTGATAAATAGAATTACAGGATGTAGCCTTACCAACAAATACAATATTTAGGTGATAAATGGAAAAACAAGGTGTGGCCTAACCAACAAGTATAATATGTAGGTGATAGATGGAAACACAGGGTGTTGCCTTACCAACAAATACAAAATGTAGGTGATAAATAGAATTACAGGATGTAGCCTTACCAACAAATACAATATTTAGGTGATAAATGGAAACACAGGTTGTGGCCTTACCAACAAATACAATATGTAGGTGATAAATGGAAACACAGGGTGTAGCCATACCAACAAATACAATATGTGGCTGATAAATGGAAACACAGGGTGTGGCCTACCCAACAAATACAATAGGTGGGTGATAAATGGACACACAGGGTGTAGTTATACCAACAAATACAATATATGGCTGATAAATGGAAACACAGGGTGTGGCCTACCCAACAAATACAATATATGGGTGATAAATGGAAACACAGGGTGTGGCCTACCCAACAAATACAATAGGTGGGTGATAAATGGAAACACAGGGTGTGGCCTACCCAACAAATACAATAGGTGGGTGATAAATGGAAACACAGGGTGTAGTTATACCAACAAATACAATATATGGCTGATAAATGGAAACACAGGGTGTGACCTACCCAACAAATACAATATGTGGGTGATAAATGGAAACACATGGTGTGGCCTTACCAACAAGTACAATATGTAGGTGATAAATGGAAACACAGGGTGTGGCCTTGCCAACAAATACAATATGTAGGTGATAAATAGAAATACAGGGTGTGGTCTTACCAACAAATACAATATGTATTTGATAAATGGAAACACAGGGTGTGGCCTTACCAACAAATACAAT